AAGTGGTAGAGCACTAGCCTTGAGCTGAAAAGCAGAGGGACAGCGCTCAGGCCCAGAGTTCAGGCCCCATGACGGACAAAAAAATAAATAAAAATAAAACCAGGAGACAAAGGATGAGGGGTCACAGTGAAGGCCAGACTGGCAAAAGTTAGGAGACCCTATTTGAAAAATAAACTAAAAACAAAAGGGTTTGCTGGGGTCCTGTGGCCACATGGTAGAGCACGTGTAGTTATAAGGCTCTAAAGTCAATCCCCAGAATTGAAAAAACAAAAACAAAACAAAATGCACACGCACAAGGCTCACAATACAGAAGTCTGTTTCCCAGGATTCCCAGCAAAAGCATGGACTGAGAGTAGGTGTCGTGCCCATCCCCCAACCCAAAGCCACAGGCCCCGCCCAGACAGGAAAAGGAGACCCCAAGGGACTCCAGAGCTGCCTTGCAGCTCAGGAAAGAGAGGAGAGGGGGGGAAAATGAATGAAAAGAACCAAAGTTTGCAGAATAATTATAGAAAGAGGTTTCACAGACGGTAAATGGCAGCGCCTGGGAGTGCCTGGGCTCAAAGCGGCCATGAAATTGCCACTGTGGTCTGGAGGCCACCCATCCGCAGACCAGGGGCAGGTGGCCCAGCCACATGAGAAGAGCAAGGAGGATCCAGAAGAGGCATCTGGGTGATCATGAGATGTTGAGTATAGACCAGGAGATGGTTTAGACTCCTTTCTCAAAGAGGGAGGGGAGGGCAAAGGGCCCTGGGAAGCGGGAGGTGGAGGCAAACACAAGGCTGAGTTGCCCTGGAGAGGTTAGGGGTGAGGACAGGGGTGCTGGAGTTCAAGAGTCCTGGAGTGTGTCATTCCAAGTTCAAGAGGAAGTGGAAGGGAGAGACTGCTACTGGGTCCTAGCCCTGTCCCCAGTGAAACCCCGCATTTAAATGTTTGTGGCTAAATGAAACCCCTCCTCTCCTATCCCAAACACCTCATAAAGCCTCTTATTATCCCCACTACC